TTGTCACTTCACATGTCATGCCCACATTCTGTCATGCTAAGAAAAAGCAGCATGTTAGAGTGTAAAAAGGCCATCTTCATCTTCTCTTTCCTGCTGCATGTCACTGAGGACATTTTTACATTCTCCAGCATTGTCTAGCCTGGAAACAGAAAAGAAGGACTGATAATGGGAAATACCAGAATCAGAAAAAACAAAAAGCTAACCAAAAAAACCCTCAGATGCTTGCTGCTATGTTATAATACAACTACCCTTGAGTTCAAAGGACTCAGAGTCCATTTAGCCAAAGTTTCGCATTTTATTTATTTATTTATTTTTAATGCTACTAGTAGGATCAACCAGGTAAAGCTTCACATTTTACAGATGAGAAAACTGAAGCTTTAGGAAAAAAAGAGCTTTTACCAATCTATTGTAACCAGGAGATTTCAAAGTCTGTTAACAAAATACAGAATCATGATCCAAATGCATTTCTTTACCACAAGGTCTCCAAGTATGACCTGGGAAACTCACCTTGCTGGGCCTCAGTTTCCCTACTTGCTAATATTTATTTGTGACTAAATATGATGGTATTGATACAATCAATTATTAGAGAGGGGAATGGCTTTCATTAAGACCTTTTGCTAAATCTTATTTCTTTCCCAAAAAGCTATAGAACAGGGCAGATACCCCAAATCCCATATTAGAGAGAGTTAAAACACTATTTTAGAAAAACGAAAAAAAAAAACCAAAAAACAAAAAACAAAAACAAGAATGCTGTTCCTATGGTCTAATTGGGCAGATAAACAAAATCCCAGCAATAATATTCTACATGTTTCCTTCATTTTCCATACTACTAACACTCCTCTTAATGAATTTCAGTTTAACAATGTCCTCTTAAAGTGAGTAACCCAGAGTTAGGCAAAGAATTTCAAGCACACAGTAACATATTACCTCCTTTCTTTTGCGTGCCATACCTCTATTAATGCCACCTTTCTTTGTATTTGTATTTTGCTCAGACACACAGGGTTAACCAAGACAGAGGTTAATGTAAACTAAATCCACATAACTTTTTCACCTCTAATGTCATGTTTCCAACCCTGTGCTTAATCAGAACATAAGCACAAGTTACTAACCCACTGAGTAGCAGCCAATCATTTGTAACAGCTTGTACAATCATCACAACAATCATTCATCCAAGATAAATTACCTTGTGTCTTTCTGCAAGCAATTGGTTTCCATGATTTTCCCTGAAAAGACAAGGCCACAGTGTGAGCAGAGTAGCTATGGTAGATAGCACATGTAAGTACTGGGTCAAACACAGGCCAAAAGTGAGAGGTCAGGCCTGGCATTGGCAGGGAAAGCCAGACCTAATCCCAGGTCAGATGCTTGTGTTTTTCACCCGCGGTCAGTGCCCATCAATCACAAAGTTGATCCAACATTGTAGGCAGTGATGTCAAGCTGTTTATTTTGAGTTATTTGCTTATCCAGAATGCAAGTTCTCACTGGGTTTTAACGTACTTCTTAATGAGACCTACCCAGAATTTTCCAAAACTGTAATCTATGTGCAAGGGCTAATAACAGGCTTTTAGTAAGTTCTAAATTTCCTTTTGCAATTTCATCTGGGGATGGTGTTGAACTACACGAGTTCTGCTCTTTTTATTCAAATGAATTCAGATGGTACTAGTCTCCTGACTATCTTGAAACAGCTTTTGTTAATGACTAAAGAACAATTTCTCTCTACTTCCCAAGAGAACAAGGTGCCATGTGCCTGCACTTTGCGTGAACACTATAAATCCTTTTTCATGCCTCCTTTATGTAGTGTTTTCAAACTTTATTGGTGGGGGCAGGGGTACAAGGCCATGGAACAGCTTGAGAATTTAATAAAACCTATGGATCCTATCCGCCAAAAAGTTCCGGTTTAAACATATAAGCATTTCTACACACAATTTCAAGGAATTCACATTCATTTCATCCCCTGAAATCCATCTGTGACTGATAGGTTAAGAAAACTTGCTTTCAGGGGGACCATTTGTGGTTTCCTTCCAGGGATGGTCGTAGCCAAAAGAAGGGGCAGGCCAGCATTTTCTCAGCTCTAGGGCAGTGATCATCATAGTACTTTCCATTTAAGCCAATAAGAGGATGAAAAGAATTAGGCACATCAAGACTATAGCTTCAGTACTGGAATAGCACTTATTAGTGTCCAATAAATGAAGGTGCCCTTAATTAAGGTTTTTCTTTTCCAAGATGTAAACTCTACTGATAGGATAATACGTAAAGTCATTAGCACCTTATAGAGAGTGAGTTTACCTATTACCTCCCTGATTGGGCTGGGAATAGTGCTAGAACTGAGCATCTTTCTCTTTGGGGAGTGGAAGAAGGAGGTGGGGAACAGCAGAAACGACCCACTCCCAGCTCCTCTTGGAGTTGCCAGGGTTCTGAAGGGCTCTATGGACCCTCCCTTCTTACCTCGCAGGAGAAAGCCCACAAGCAATACCAACAGCACAAATCCCAAGGTAGGTGCAATGATGAAAAGCAGGTTCTCAGTTTTTCCCAAGTCAAACGAGGGTTCCGGCATCTGCTGAGACACAGGCAAGGCCACTGCCCCAGTCACATTGCTAGACACCATCATCAAAGGACCACATCTCATCCCAACAAGCCGGCCCAATCAGCAGCAGCTTTGCCACATCTCACCACCTTTTGCCCAATGTGTCTCAAAATCAAAACAAAGCCAGCTTTACAAATCAGGTATTTTTTCAATAATCTCGGAAAACCTAAAACACTTCACCCATATCCTAAAATTCTCCTCAGTTCTAGACATCAGGGATGGGAGGCTATGGGGCTGAGGACTCTGAAGATTTAAAATGAGTATGTTTTCCACCGTCAGATCTCTTTCCTGGCCACTGCCTAAATCCTTTGGCGCTCTTTCTAACCTGTGCAGCTCTGTTCATGGCTAACTTAGACTTGGTTTCTGGTGAAAAAAAAAAAAGATTAAGAAGAAAATGGAGCTCAATTTCATATTTTCTCCAGCAGTGGTTGTCAAAGTATAGCCAGGCAGTTCATGGGATCGTGATTTTCATGAGATGGTTTCACCATTTTAAGTGACATTCTCTTACAAGACACACTCTGGGAGGAGTTTTCCCAGAGGTCATGTTACAGGTGATGATGTCATTGTTCTCAGGTACGCAGAATTTTTAAAGCAGATTTGTGGTATGAGCAACCCTCTGTCTCCTATCAAGCCAGTCACTAGTAGGCTTTGCCACAAAATTAAAAACAATGTCATTTGTTGCCACTAATTTTTTTCATTTGGGGAAAATGGTTGTCATACAACGTATGTTTATGTTAACGTGTAATGGGTTTGTTATTCTTCTTTTTAAACAAATTAATGAACATTTTAAAGTTTCTCAGTTTTAAGAAACTGAGTTTTAAGAGTATAAAGGTGCCCTGACACCAAAAAGTTTGAGCAGCACGGCTCTTTGGGCAGGCCTGCAGGCAGCTTGCAGGAACTATGCCATCTGCGTTGACTAGTCCTCTCCTTCCTTCCTTCCTCTTCCATTCTCAAACCCTGGAGGCAGTGGGGATAGTGGCCAGGGAAAAACAACAGACTGTCTCTGAGGATGGAGATGGGAGAAGAAGAAAAGAGAGATAGGAAACTTTCGTTTCTCCTTTATAAACATCTGTGCTACCTATAGTTTTCATTTGTGTAATAAAAATAAATGAAGAGTACCCTCAGAAAATAAGAGGAACGCTCGTGGCAGGTGTTGATTCTATAGCATGTCTTTAATCCACGGCCACATGGAAGGAGCACTGAAGGATTTTGCATGTTTTTGTATGATTTTTTTCTTTTCAAAAACATCTGCACATACAGAAATAATGATCAATGTTACTTCTGCCAAGAGTACAACTTGACAGACTCTTTAGCTATTTCATAGTAGCTGTGATGCAGTTTGCTGCTTAGCAAGATCCTGCTATCCCCAGCCCATCTCTGCAGACCTCCACTGTGAATTTTTAAAATCTAAGTCATACACTTCAGATACTTAAATATTTTTTTTTACCTGTGGTCTGTTTGGCCCAATTGTCGTCTCAGATGCTGGGAAGGAAAAAGAGAAGAAAATGGTTAGAAGGCCTGTGGGAGAATAAAATCGCTGAAATAAATATTCAGAAGCCTATTTGGAATTCCAGCTGATGAGTTTAATTCCTTAATCCCACCTTTCCTTTTTGTACAATTTATTTATGAATATTTATTTTGATAGGTTTTAATGTGAAGTGTATCAGCTATCCAACATTGTCTTACCAGCTCATCTCCATTTTATAGACAGGTAGAGGGAGAGATTGAGCCAGCAGGCAGTTGGCTATAATTTTTCTATAGGCTCCAGCAAGGCATTCAGGATTTTTACTCAGCCAGAAACTTTGTCAGTCTTTTGGTTAACAGATATTTATTGAGGCCGTGTAAGAGTTAGCCTGATGTTTATTGAGAACACTTGTTATAGGCCATGCAGGATGCTGGCTATATCTTAGATCTCACAAATTGATGTCTTAGTGCAGAAAATCAAATTTAAACAGGTAATACAAATAGTTGAAAAAATAATTCGTTACAGATGAGGACAAAATTCTGGGAATAAATAATATAGAATAAGATGGGAATAATCATGAGGATGGCTGGATTGTTCCCGAGGGTCAAGGAAAGTGTCCCCGAGAATGGGAAGTGTAATCTGAGACACATTTACTCCAACCTAAGTTGAGTTACAAGGGAACCATAATGAGAATCTGTCAAGTGCTAAACACCATTCTAGGCTACTGAGATGATATTGCATGGCCCCTACCCTCGAGCACTTTATAGTATTTTAGGGAAGAGAGACTATTTCAGCCAAGGGTAGTGATGAAGTGTGCACAGGCTTCAGAGGAGGGCTGGAAAACAGAGAAGATCCCAGTCCAACATTGTATGTAATTATATCAATGTTTTATTAGACTTGAACTCCATGAAGACAGAGTCCCTGTCTGCCTGTTCATTACTGGGACCCCAACCTTTCTTGTCACATACTTGGCGCTCAATAGCGTTCATGGCAGGAATGACACCTGAACTGAGTTAGGGTCATGTAAGAGTTAGCCAGGCAAGGAATGGTGGCAAAGGCGGCTCAGGTAGATGGGACAGCATCTGCCAAGTTGTGAAAGCAAGAAACAGCCAGGCACTCAGGTCGACAGTGGGCAGCCACGAAGATGTGAAATGCAGGGAAGAAATGGAGGAAGATGAGACTCAGGTGAACAAGAACCAGTTATGGAAGGGCCTTTGCTTCATTCTGGAAGTCTCCATTGGCCCTGGGAAACCACAGAAATGTTTACACATGACCCAGTGAGGAGGATAAGGGAATGGGAATAGCCAGGGTGAAAGTTATCATCTGATTTCAGGTCTGAATTCTGAGCTAATAAAAATGAAGAGAGACAGACTTCATAAATGCCTTGAAGGAGGTCACCAGTATATGGACATTGAACTATGGAGGTGAGAAAGAGAGGAGAGTCTTAGATAACTCACCAGTTCCTACTCAAGACAGGGGCCTTTGATTGGGATCAGCAGGAAGGGAGACGTGCCAGTCTGGGTAGGAAGGTGCTGAGCTCATTTAGAGTCAATGAGTTTAAGGCTCCTATGAGACATGTGCAGACACTGTTCACCTAACAAACACTTGGGTGCATCTGAACCTGAATCCAACTCAGGAAAAGGGTATAGTTGGAGATACTGATTAGGGAGTCATCAGTATCCAGGGAGTCGTTAAAATCTGCAGAGTGTTTAAGAAATCTAAGAGCTGCCTGTGCAGAGAGAAGGGCAAAGAGTCCTGAGAAACATCAGCATTAATAGGTGGATAGAGGAGGTGGAGAAAAGCAACAACAACAACAATCAAAACAAAAAACAAAAAACAAAAAGAAACAGAAGAAATGATCAGAGAAACCACAGTTAAGAGCTCTGTCCAGGACAAAATGTCCAGAATGGATGTAAAGTCATAGGTACAATGAAATCTTAGAAATAGAACTTAATACGTAGACAGTGAGACCCTGAATATAATAAACATCTAAGCTAAAAATTACTGAAATAGATCATGAAGTTTTCCCTCAAGCTTCCTTTGCACTTAGGCAAAAGGAGAAATGTGTTAGGTTTTGTACGGTTCTTAATTTGGTACCAGAGAGTTTATTTGTTCATCAGGGAGAGAAACTTGTTGAATGCCTAGGAACATAAAAACCAAGGGGGAAATTCAGCAGGTTTTCATATCCCAGACCCAAGTTATTGTTGTTGTTTTTCTCTCTGCTATTATCCCCCAGAGCCAGAAATTGCAGGTAAGAATTCAAAACTCCTACCCCCGTTCTGTCAAAATCCTGTTGTATTACAATCATTTCTGATGGATAAGCCTAAATTTGAAGCCATCAAAAGGAAAAGCCCGCCTGGGTCAATTTTGTCAGAGCTAATCTGTATTTTAAATTGGAATTGTCTAATGGGAGAGACATTTCACAAACACAGACACCTCTGCGTGATACCAAACAGCACTTTATTCTCTTGTTCTTCTTCAGAAAATGCCAAAAGCCCAAACAGGAAGTACTCCAAGGGCTACAGCGTTGGGCACAGAATAGCAACACCAATCACCGGTTGACAGTGATTTTTCTTCCTTGTGAAAAGCATTGTCTTAAAAAAAACAAAAACAAAAAACAAAGCAATAAAGGATCTCTGTGATTACACCAAGCTCACCAGATAATCCAGAATATTCTTCTCATTTCAAGATCCTGACTTAATCACATGGCAAGTTTCTTTTGCCATGTAAGGTAAGATAGTCACAGTTTCTGAAAACGAGGATGTTGACATCTCTGGGTGTCATTATTCTACTGACCATGGTCTCCACACTGCATATGAGAGACAAATAACTTCTTCCTCTAAGTAATAACATACTCTGATAAAAATAATACATTGCTTTTAGTAAATCATTTATGCCTGATTTGTTCATATATACCTCCATACTAATATATTATATACACTTTGAAACATATCATCCTCAAAAGTGTTTAAAGGATGAAATTTAAATAAAATGTCAGTAGAAAAGTTCACTTTTCCCATTCCCAGTGGATGGCCTAACCCACTGATGGCACTCACTGAACCCTCTTTACACACCATTATTCTGTACCATCCTTTTTCTAGATTCAATGCAAAGTACTACCCTGCACATTTCTTTTTATAGGTGGTAGGATTTGTTATTTATAAGGTGCAAAGTGCTTGAGCTTCAGTATCAAAGGTGGAGGCTTTGATGTCAGTCAGACATGTTCAAATTCCAGCTCTATCACTATAACCTCCA